ATAATCTTGGCAAGGATTTTCTTTGTGGGACGTTCGCCCTCAATATCACTAGGGTCATCTCGCCTGATCTTATACCGCGATGCATGACATACCGGGCATGCATCTAACTTCTCGTACTCCTCGCCACGGTAGAGGATGTAGTCATTAGGACATGCATGTATCTTCTAGATTTCTAATCCCAAAGGGCAGACTACCTGTTTTGCTTCGTACGTACTGACGGGCAATTCGTTATCCTTCGGAAGCATCTTCTGTTGGATTTTCAGTAACTCCCCAAATCCTTTGTCAGATACACCATTCTTTGCCTTTCATTGCAGCAATTCCAGTGTGGTACCCAACATTTTCTGTCCCGCATCACAAGTTGGGTATAGCAATTTCTTGTGATCCTCTAGCATGCGCTCGAACTTGATCTTCTCCTTTTCACTTTCGCATTCTCTTTGTGCGTCACGAATGGCCTGACCAAGATCATCAGCGGGCTCATCTTCTACCACTACCTCTTCTTCAGCTTCCCCCATTGCAGTATCATTAAAGGCACCATATTCAGCAATAATGTCATCATCGTCCCATTGTTCTTCTTCACCTTCTTCCATTACAACTCCGGTTTCTCCGTGCTTCGTCCAACAAATATAGTTTGGCATGAAACCCGACTTCAACAAGTGTGAATGAAGACTCCTTGAGCTAGCATATTCCTTCAAATTCTTACATATGGCACATGGGCAGCACATGAAGCCATCGCGTTTGTTTGCCTCGGCCACACATAAGAAAGAATGCACGCCCTCAATGAACTCTTGAGAGCGGCGATCAGCATTGTACATCCAATGCCGGCTCATCTGCATTACATGACATACATACCATATTAAAACCTAGACCATAATTAGTTAATTATACGACATGCATGTCACCACACAAGGTATTAATTTATGAAAGTCTCGCTACAATGTAGACAATCCTAACTACCACTAAAAAAACTAAAGCTAAAATGCACTTCAGCAGCATAAGGATTTCGCGACCAATCCCAACTAAAACAGACAGATCATGCGTTTGTTCAACATTTATGGGCTTCTTCCGCAGAATCACTGCCTCATCAGCCGCCGTAGCCGCCTGTGCAAGAGAGCTTTGCACGTGTTCAACATACTCTTCCTCCCAGTACCAGCCTGAACATCCAGTGCCATCCCACTAAAATTAAAACAAAAAATTAGAACTTTAATCACAATCATCATGAAAATAAGTATAAATTAACCATAATCATCAAATGCGACAAAATAACTCACATTGCGATCCGAACACTTGTAGAAGATACGGCCCTTGTTGGGACACTCCTTCCTCACCCGGTACTCCATCATAATCTTCTCCTCACACTTGCCGCATGCAATGAGAGGGAGGTCCGGCCTCAGTCGCTTTGGAACCCGATGAGAGGCCGAGGACCCAAAAGCAGTTGACATCTACTCTCTATACTCATTTTTAATATAATATAAATTTCTCATTTTATAAACAAATAAAATTAAAAAAAACTCTAAAATTCTCTATATCTCTAAACCATGAAATGTGCTATGCATGCTAGAAATGAAAAATGAATACTAGTTTTGAATAACTACTTTAACCTTCCTTCATCCAAATATGTAAACTTTAAAATGATTTTGAACTTAAATGACTTACAAATAAAAAAATCCACCATAAAAAACCACATATATCTAGTCCACAAAATGAGATATGCTACTGATGAAACATGAGAGTATAAAGTTGGTAACCTTTAGAACCGAAGAATCGAGGGAGGAATCGAAGAAATCTTGTGATTACTGGCGATGAGGAAGAAGAGAGGCCGGCGATGAAGCAAGAACACTGAGCTCGAAGTGGCTCGGGCTCGGGGAGGAAGAGGGCTATATAGGAGGGGACCTTTAGTCCCGGTTGGAGACAGAAACCGGGACTAAAGGTCCCTTTCTAGTTCTGGACGGAGCCTCCAGCCGGGAGAAGACTTTTACTCCCGGTTGGAGGGACCAACCGGAAGTAAAAGCTAACCTTTAGTCCCTGTTTGTAGCTCAAACCAGGACTAAAGGTCCCCTGCAGCAAAATCCTGCCGCAGTAGCCGTTGGGCAGGGACCTTTAGTCCCGGTTAGATCTACAAACCGGGACTAAAGGTCTCTCTAGTTCCGGGCGCGAAAAATACCGGGACTAAAGCAAATTTTGAGCTGGATCAAAGGTCGTTTCTCTACTACTAGTGAATCTTGGAAGTACATCCATGAATATTATATTTTGAGAGTGAAAATGGATAAAAATAAAATCTCGGTTAACTTGGAAACTTACTAAGTTTGATCAATGCATTGCTAATAATAACCTCAATATATGTTACCCCATGTAACAACTATTTTATCGTGCATGCGTTTTGATGCTATGCAAACTGTTCTTTTAAATCACACATGGCCATCTCTCCTCACTCAGGTACGCGCTTGGCCAATCAAACGCTCGCTCTGCAGTGCAAGAGCATGCACAAATGACAGCATGGTAGAAGGAGCAATAAATGGTGCGTGTTTGCATGTCCATCAAAATGGATAGTTAAGTGAATTGGGCTCTCTATTACTGGCCACATGAAAAAAATAGTTATACCTTCAATCTTGTATCTCATCTTTTTTAAAAAGTATTAATAGCATTCATGTTGTATAATACTAAAAAATTTTAGGTTGACCAATATTACCCAATGGGTCAATGAGGCCATAGCCTTTTGACAAAATGAGTCGACCCATGGCCCTTAAAATTGGCTTTGAGGCCACGGGGCCGGGTCCAAGGCCAGAGCCGAATCGGCCCATTCGCATCCATACAACCACTCATACAGGCACGTACTATTTCCGGGAACTCCTTTCCATGCCAACAAATGGAGATGGCTGGGTGGGCAAGATAACAGTGGAGTGTGGGCTCTAGCCTCTAGCTCGGCCCGGTCAAAGAGTCCAATGCAGCAAGGTAGCTGGGCACATGGCATCAACATTTTGCACCTTTTCATGAAGTAGCTCTTCTCACCCAAGTTGTACTTGGCTACTTGTTATTTGGGTGACAAGCCCAGATACAGGGGACTTCATCTATTTGTGGGTTGCGTCCAGACGCATGTTTTATAACCACAAGTAATGGTGATAAGTGGATCCGACGGTAGAGAAGTAAGTAATCGATGGTTATTAGGCGGATACAACGACACCGAGCACTGCCAGGTCAAACCACAAATTGGCAGTGAAGTCTTTATGTCACTACATGGCCAAACCACTAACCGACAGTGATATATTACTACTAGATGGTGGCCTGAGCCGGCAATAATATCTCACCTGCCACTGTCGGTGTGGCTCAATGTACCAGTTAAATAGGTTGTCCAATCATTATCTACATCCTAAACTTATGACCCGACAGTAAAATATAATCACTGCTGCCTCATACACATCCGTCACCGATTGACTGTTCTGTAGTGGTGCAACGGCGGCCGTTCCCAGCCACTTGCTTGCTATAAGAGCATGGTCAATAATAGAGTCAAGTGCTCAGCTATAAGTCTAAGTTATAAGAGTCAAGTTATACAATAGTTAGTCTTCTATTTGTCTACAAAATTTCTTTATTATTATATGTTTCCATTCGCTCTCCTATTTCTCCTCACATACATCTCTATTGGGCTCTCTTCTCTCTCTTTCCTTCTCTCTTCTACATCAGAAAAAAAAAACATTGATTAGCTTGGCTATAAGCCAATTGTTATCCTTGCTCTAATACTACCACATTCTTCCTCTCCAACTGAATCCACACGTGGTGGCCGGTTGGTAAGGCGAGGGCCAAAATGGCAACCAGCAAATCCACGGTCTTCCAGCTCGCGTACGTGATTCATGCACGAAGGATACACGATTGGCCGAAAGCAGATCCGGCAGGCCGCTGGTACACTCGCTGGATACTCTTCACATGCATGCAGTCGTCCTCCTTGCATTGTCGTGTTCTTGGCTGCTGCATATATATTTGCTCCCTGTCCTTATGCATGCATCCTTTCTATGAATCGGTCCGGCTGTGTGACGTCCACGTCCAGGACCATTTTGCTACACGCACTGATTGTCATTCACGTGAATCACGTACCTGATTGTCATGTACTGCTCGCTCCAGGGATGCCGACCCCCATGATTGCCAATTTGTCATGCATGTGAATCACGCACTGTACCTGAGGAGCTGCATGCATTGCAGACCTCCTTTAGTGCACAGATTCGGATCTGAATACTGTATATGTATCAAGTGTAGTAGATTACTAGAAGATATTCGATCTGCGCGCTGTTGCGGAGATTGTGAAAAAATAAAAATAAAATCAAGTAGAGAGAACAATGATAGCTTGTATTAAGAGATTGAAAGCTAGTGACATATATGTCTATTAGCGCGTGTTCAGCTGGCTGAACTTTGGATTTTGGGCTACTGTAGCATTTTCGTTTTTATTTGTTAATTAGTGTTCAATCATGTACTAATTAGGCTCAAAACGTTCGTCTCGCAATTTCCAACCAAACTGTGCAATTAGTTTTTTTCGTCTATATTTAATGCTCTATGCACGTGTCGCAAGATTCGATGTGATAGGTACTTTTTGGGAAAAAATTTTGGAACTAAACAAGGGCTTAGTGAAAGATGATATGGATAGTTAGTGAAACTTAATGTTGTTTGTTGAGATAGAACTTGAGATGACGTGGATAGCTTGCATTGAGAGGTTGGTAATTAGTGGTATGACATGGCTATTAGTGGGAAATGACATGTATGTCTTGTATGTTGAGATATAACATATAGTGGAGATTAGCTTTATAAGAGATATAGATTCACACATGGCAGGATGACTATGGTCGTCGCTTCGGCAGCTACAAATACACTCCAAGCTGAAGCACCAAACCAAGCAACCCAAACAACGCCAAGCGATAGCTAGCTCGCTCGTCATCAGCTACTCAAGTTGGACGACTCGCTAGTGTAGGTGCCTGCGCAGCGCAACGCAGCCGAGGGAGGTAACTCAACTCCTAGTAGCCATGGCATCCTCTGCAAATGGAAGCATCGCCAAGAGGTGGCGCGAGCTCCAAGGCGACAACTCCTGGAAGGGCCTCCTGGACCCGCTGGATATGGACCTCCGCAAGTCCATCATCTCCTACGGCGAGCTCGCCGAGGCCACCTACGACGGGTTCAACACGGAGCGGCGGTCGCCGCACGCCGGCGCCTGCATGTACGGCTACTCCGACCTGCTGGCCAGCTCGGGGGTGGCGGCGGCCGGCCACTACGAGGTCACCAGGTTCATCTACGCCACGTCGGGGCAGCCCCTCCCCGACGCCTTCCTCCTGCGCCCGCTGGAGGCGCTCAAGGACGTGTGGTCCAGGGAGTCCAACTTCATGGGCTACGTCGCCGTGGCCACCGACGAGGGCGCCGCCGCGCTGGGGAGGCGCGACATCGTCGTCGCGTGGCGCGGCACCGTGCAGAGCCTGGAGTGGGTCAACGACCTCGGCTTCACGCCCGTGCCCGCCGCGCCGGTCCTCGGCTCCAAGGCCGCCGCCAACCCCTTGGCGATGGTGCACATGGGCTTCCTCTCCATGTACACGTCCAGCCACGCCGGCTCCAAGTTCAACAAGACTAGCGCCAGGGACCAGGTCTTCGAGGAGGTGAGGAGACTGGTGGAGCTCTACAAGGACGAGGAGATGAGCATCACCATCACCGGACACAGCCTCGGCGCGGCCATCTCCATCCTCAACGCCGTCGACATCGTCAGCAACGGCGTGAACGTGCCCGGCGGCTCATCATCCACCAATAAGCCGCCGTGCCCGGTGACGGCCATCGTGTTCGCGTGCCCGCACGTCGGCGACCGCTTCTTCAGGGCGGCCTTCCAATCCTTCAAGGACCTCAAGGCTCTCCACGTGAAGAACGCCGGCGACGTCGTGCCGATGTACCCGCCGCTGGCGTACGTGGACGTGGCCGTGACGTTGAACATCAACACCGGTCGGTCGCCGTACCTCAAGTGGCCCGGCACGGTGCAGACGCTCCACAACCTCGAGTGCTACCTGCATGGCGTCGCCGGCGAGCAGGGCAGCGCCGGAGGGTTTAAGCTGGAGGTGGAGCGCGACGTGGCGCTGGTGAACAAGGGCGCCGACGCGCTCAAGGACGAGTACCCGGTGCCGGCGAGCTGGTGGGCGCCAAAGATCAACAAGGGCATGGTGAAGGATGATGCCGACGGCCAGTTGATGCTCAACGACTTCCAGCAAATCTAATGAGCCCTGATGCTGCATGCTTATTACCATCCACGCATACTATATATATAAATAATAACGCCAGGTAGCAGGCCGTCATGTGCTATTATTATACACTTCTCCTATATTTCAGCTGTCTAAATTTTTTAAGATGATTTCAGACAACAGTATTGTATCACCCACTAGTACAAGTGATTTGTTACTTTTATGATTTGTTATTTATCTTGTGTCATAACATTTTAAATTTTTGTTCTTGCCTTCCTATAGAAATAATTGTAAAATGTAAATTTTCTTTGTGCCAAAACAAATCAGATTTTGTCGGGTTTGTGATTTTTTCTAACGGATTTTTTATTCTCGGTATCGAAAATTGCAGATTGCGCCTACAGAACGAAATTGCAATGAATAAAATATACAATTTTAGTACAAAATATATGCAATAACCGTTGTCTGAAAGGACACTAAAATTCAGGCACATGAATTTTAGCACGTCCCATTATTATACGTCAAAGTACACGTATATGCTTGAATAATTTTCAAGCCGATCGAATTCCAACTGTTATTAAGCCTCTTTTTCTTTTTCTTTTTCTTTTTCTATAAACTAGTACAAGTAGTCACAGGGCGCAGGGGTGCACACCGGCCACATGGTCACGTTGTGATCCAAACTTTGCACTTCTCAAATAAAAACTTCATAAGACATATACATACTCTTGAAAATGAGCGGTTGACTTCAAGTGCAAACAATTTTAGGGTGGTTTGACTTGATAAAAACATCCCTAAAAACGATTTTTCAGGAGACAACCAGTGATGTAGTAGCATTTCAAAAACCGCCCTTGAAAATCGATTTTGACCGTCTCTAAAATTGTATGTGTAGTAGTGTGTAAGTGTAACCGTCTTTTGTTGGCATACACGTATTTCCTCTGAATTTTGTCCAAATGTTCTAAAATTTTAAGTAAAGAGGACTTGGAACACGCAATTAGTGTAGGGGTTTTTATTTTGACCGACTAATTAATAATAGGGAGATATGCTAGTAGTTGTATATGTTTTTTCAAGAAGCAATACAACATGTGAATCCATGAATGAAGAACCAGATTATCTAAGAAATAGTAGTTTTCATCTAAAACGGACAACACTTGAATACATTCTTAGCATTTACCGGTAAAGGCGAGCAAGTGGGGCCATATGCTGCAAGTTATTTTATTGATCTTTTAGTTTTTCTATCTATTGTTTTATCATTATCTTTTATGAACTAAACATATGTTGCAAGTTATCCCTTATTAGTAGTATTATATATTTTTACTGTTATATTAAAAAAATAGATTGTCAGATCCTTATTATTTTGCTTGCTCAAAGGCCCCTTAAATTATTGAGAGGACCCTGCCGAGGACAAGAAGGAGCACTGGTCCAATGTCAGCCCCAGCTCTAGCAGTGACAAAGAAGGGGGAAACAGTTCTACTAATACCCCCTTTCTCCGATTTGTAGGAATAAAATGGAATGCTACCAAAAAGAATTATATTCCACCAGTGGCCTCTGTAATACTCTCTGCAGTTCTGTCATAGTACCAAAATCAAACTATCTTGAATTTGATCAGATTTATATAAAGTTTTGATATTTATACTAAATAAGTATAGTTAGATTTATCATGAATATATATTCATAATATACTTGTTCAGTGCCATAAATAAATAGCAATACTTATATAAAAATCAGTCAATACTTCAGATAGTTGAGCTGAAGATGGAGCTAGAATTGCATTTTTTTAGCAAGATCACTTTTTTTAGGGGATTTTAGCAAGATCTAGAATTGTATTTCTTTTAGGAGCAAGGTTCTGTAATTATTAGCGAGGGCCGAAATAAGCCCAGTAAAATTGTTGGGCCGTCGTACAGCAACAAAAAATCTAACAGCCCTTCGAATACTGATGAGATAACCATTCCAACGACCAGCAGGCAGCTTTGCGCGGGCAGACGTACCTCTCGCCGCCGGCGATAACCACCGACGAAAGGGTCAGATCCCCCAGCTCCTTCCCTGCACATGTACGACTTTCTATCTGCAGCCCGTCCTCTGGCCCAACTCCTCATCCCTCTCCACTCTCCTGCTGGCCGCTCAGGCAGCGGGAGTACGAGTAGCCCGCTGGTCGACGTCGCCCGCCCCGCGTCAGGCTGGGTCCGCTCGGCATTCCCTCTTGCTTCGTCCCGAGGGACTGCTTGTGCGCTTCCGCCGTAATCTCCATGCAACTCAAGGTTCCTGGATGCTAGAGCTTAGGGGCGGCGCGTTATAGGTGACGGAGTTGTCTTCCTATCTTATTGCTGTTAAGGTGCTCGATGGAATGCCGCTGAGGTGAATGAGTGCGTTGTTTTGGTAAAAAAAATGATGCTAATCCCTTCACATATCACACCATCTGACATAAAAATGCCTCCTACTCCTTAAGCTGCTCTATTTCTGATTTGCAGTCATACTTGAAATGCTTGCTATATTCGTATCAATTTGCAGCCATACTCTTCTAGGTCGCGAATCCTGCTAGAAATTTCTGATCAATGTTTTAGGTTTGAGACAATGTCACTCGGTACACTTTCATTTCATCCAATAGCTATCATCGGTTTCAAGTATGCAATTTAGACCTGTGGTAGGTCACATAGGCAGAAGCCATGTTTTACCCAATCCAATTATTTTTAGTTCTTGTTCCAAAACATTCCTTAAAAAATACTCCCTCCGTTCCAAACTGTAAGTTATTTTGGCTTTTCTAGATTCATAGTTTTTACTATGTATCTAGACATAGTGTATATCTAGGTACATAGCAACTATAAAAGCCAAAACGATTTACAATTTGAAACAGAGGGAGTATTGTAGTGGACTTGTCAAGAATGACAGCTGAAACTCAAAAGCACCAGGCTTGGGTTTTAAAAAGAACTACTAATAACATAGAAAATGCATATTGTTGCTTACACCATCGTTTTATGTTCAGCGCTTCTATAGAGATGATTGTACATTCAAACCTCACTTTTCTGTATTTTATTTCCTAACTTTGTATTGCAACTTGCTGCCAATACCTTTGCTGTGTGTTTCTTTTTAAACTGTAGCTCAAGAATATAGTTAGTGACTATAAACGGTACCCCATCCCACAGGAAAGTATAGAATTATGTCATTTGTGTTCTGTCCAAACTACATGTGACTAGCAATCTGATCTTTGTGTGATTGTATCCTCCAATTTTTTTAAGATTGCTAATTCTCCCCCAAACTGAAAAATACTGTTCCACATAGGACGTGGTTTCTGTAGATGCTTCAAAGCACATCTCAAGTTACATAAAACTAGGAACACGTCTAATGCTTGGATGGAATTTCTAAGAGATATCAAACCTCTTGTTTCATAAACAAATACTAGCACTATACATTTCTGGATGTTGGAGCAATTCTCAACTTGCTTTCTTTATCTGAGGTATTCATATGGCAGCCAAAGTAACCTTTGACAAGAAAATGTGATTTCTTCCCAATGGTTCATATAATGAGATATCTGTAAAGTAATCTGCTGCTCTCTCTCTGTACGCGCGGCAGGGGTAGGCGCCGAAAGGGCTCCCCCGCTGCTGCACTGTAGCTGCGGCAGGGGCAGACGCCGAAAGGCTCCCCTGCCGCACTATAGCCACAGCAGGGGCAGACGCCAAAATCAGCCCTACTGTCACATCTAGCCACTGTAGCAGTCTGGCATGTCTGTCTACTAGGATTAGATGGGTACAGTTGTATATATAGCTTCCCACTGCAACTCAGTAAAGGGGGAGAGTTCAGTTTTGCCATCTTCTCTGCAGAGCTCCCGCTAACGCTGGTGCTTGTGCTGTGTGTGCGCGCGCTCTATTCTTCCTTCCTCTTCTACCTCCAGCCGTAGTGTGTATGCGAGAACGCCGGTGAGCGATCGGCTCACCCGTGCGGGAGATCCCGGGCCCTACAATATCATCAGGCAAAGGTTGCATCTTTCCTGTTATATCTTTAGCTGCTGAGCACAGGTCTCCTGGACAATGTCAGTCCTCTCCATTCGTGGTTTCTGACTGGAAATGCTTAACCTCCTGGTGTTTTTGAATCTTGTTTCTGAAACCTATTGCTACAACAACAGAGAAACATCCTGTTGCCATCACAGACAGAGACAGTACTCCATGCTGTTATCAATTGTCAGGTTTCACTGTACTACAAGTCTCTGTTTTTATGGCATGTATGATGGCAAGTATTCCATGCCACTGGCAAACAGGTCACGTATCCTCTGGATCAGGCTTTTGGTTTCAGATTTCGTATTGGTGCCGTCCGGACGTCCCATTTGCGTAATAAGAGACGTCCCAATGGGTCTGCCCATTATGTATTGATAGATACTATGTTACGTGCTAGATCATATTTTCTGTTATTCTTTCATAGTATTTTGGAAATTTTCCCAGACCTAGTTCTAACCTATGTACAACAGTTTTTATCTTGCATGTGGGCTCCTGCGGCGCCTGCTAGCTCATTGACACATGGCCCGTGGCACTGAAGCAGCCAGCAGCCAGCAACCGCAAAAGCCTGCAATGTTACTTAGCAGTCAGAGCAGCAGTGTGTGGGCTGTCTGAAGCCTGCAAACTTGTTAGTTCTATCTAGCGGCCCATTTTTACTATCATTTTACAGTTGTCGGTTGGCATCATCTTCTCTCTTTTATCAGCAGCTTCATCTTGAGTGCAAAAGGTTTAGTAGCTAGCATACTTGCTGATCACATTTCCATTGCTCATTTGTTGTCGACAGATTAATTCAGCACTGTATCCCTACTTGAAGCCGCTATCAAGTCCAGTGGCGGACCCAGGATTCGCCCAAGACTAGGGCCAAATTGTGGCGGCCAAAACCCAAAAATGACACCATAGTCTGTAAACTCTATATGGCCCATCGTCCACTACCATGTCCTCGGTAACAACTCCTAACTTGGAGAACATGAAAATGTTATTAATAAGAAAAGGCCAAAAGGGGCAAGCAAATTATTAAACTTATTTAAAGTTGAGACTTGTTACTGTGCTTGGGGGTTC